GTGGTACATATTAACGTCACTTAAAGTGACAGTAATGTGTACCACTTCACGCGTGATGTCAACATAAGCTCAACGGGGCAATCGATTAAACCTTCAGGTTGTGGTAAATAAATGCATTAGCTATCTAAAAAGCAAGTCCATGGCTAATACATATTTGTACTGAGGGTCGGAAAGTCAATTTTCAGGTAACGCCTTCTCGCGTTGCTTCCAGATTGCCACATCGAAGAGACGAGCACGGAGGAGCTGTCGAAGGTTTTGCCCGTGGGCATGTGGTCCAAGTTCCCCAAGGCCTCCTTCAACAATTTGACACTGTACCTGCGCGGGAAGGGCGCCGCGACGCTGGCGCTCCTCAAGGCGCCAGGTGCAGCCTTCGACCTCCACATCGTTAGGCAGAAACATGAAATGGCGGAAGCGGATGGAATTTGTAAACTCGGGTATTAGGCGAGGCGAATAATCAACCACAGCCGTTATTGTGGTATCCCCCGGTGTGTTGTTGAATATTTTTTGTAATAGGAACTCTTTCGTTATAGGAATACTCTTCCTATAGTATAGTTTAGCTATAACTAATTTGTTTTGATTTTTTCCTAACGGACCGAGGACTGTCAATTGTAAAATCCTAAACGGATGTCAGCCGTTTAAGTCGATGGTTTTCGCACCTCTGATTGATTCCATAAAGTCGATATAGCATATTACGAAAATATACAACATAACTCACGCATACAAGGTCTCTAAAGTCTGCATGGAAAGTGTAAACGGGCAGTTTCCATATACCGTTTTTTAGTTTTTCAAATCGTCAGTACAAGTGTCTCAGAATAAATGTTACTACTTCAAGGGCATGTTAAGTGGTCGAAAACGATATTTTTGCAACATCTTATAATGAGAAATTTCTTATTACGGAGTTATACGACTGCCATATACCCTGATTTTTAGGTATCTTCATAGTATGCATTTTTCTACAATATGTTCATTGGCAAAAGATGATCATTGTATGGCATGTTTAATTTTTCAAAAAATAATCTATTCCAAGTTCTTAACATAATTGAAGAACTGGGTGCAATAACTAGATAATAACCAAAAGTAAAGTTTTGCAAAAAAAGAGAAAAACATTTTATATTAGTTCAAACCTTAAATGCATCAGATTTTTATTGATGTGAAACAAGAAGGGAAGAAGGGCAGGGAACAAAGTGAATATTTCATTCGCTTAAGTAGAAATGGGTAATAATTACATAAATATTTGTTGCATATATCTGGTTCTAACACAATTACTACAATGGGTTCAAGCAAGAATAATTGGTTGTAAAAAATTTATTTTCATGTTTTTATTGAAAAATACTTCCAAATATTTAACTTGGTTGATGTAATAGGCAAAAAACTTTATTGAAACATTTCTGAACATTAATTTTATACATACATGAAATGTTTGTCGTTGTACGATTTATCAGTTCTGTTTCAGTTTCCTCTTTTAGCTTTTTGTTGTCTATGTAGAGTAGTGTGTTGTAATAGGCAATGTTATGGAACTGTCGCAAAAGAACATCATTGTACTTTTTACAATTCAATGGAAGAGCCTCAGTGTTTGCTTTGGGTAC